TGCTGACATGCAGGGGCAGAAGGTCCTTCCCAGGCTGGCCACTCCAAGATGGCACCCCACCTGCCTTGCTGCCTTGTTTTTCAGCACAGCATTTAGAAAACATTTTATTCTGAAATTTTGGCAGACAGCTGGCTGGGCATGGTGGCTCTTGCCTATATTCCCAGTACTCTGGGAGGCCCAGGCAGGTGGATCCCTGGAGTTTAGTCATTTGAGACCAGCCTTAGGAAGAGTGAGACTCCATCTCTACTAAAAATAGAAAACTTAGCCAGGTGCTGTGGCCAGCCTCTGTGGTTCCAGCTACTCCAGAGGCTGGTGCAAAAGGATCTCTTGCACCCAAGAATGTAAGGTTTCAGTCATTTAAGTTTTAAATTTTTCAGAGAGATGGGGGTCTCATTGTGTTGCCCAGTCTGGTTTTGAACTTCTCAGCTCAAGCAATTCCCCTGCCTCAGCTTCCTGAGTAGCTGGGGCTGCATGCCTGTCCCACCATGCCCAGCCTGGTTCTCTGATTATAGACTAAGCCTTATTCTTCACTTGAGTGGTTGTGTCACTCGTCATTTGACTAAGGGTGCTAGAGAGGCCCTGCTCCTCTCACTGTTGGTCTTGGTTACAGATTAACTTTCCTCTTAACCTTCCTAATGCAAACACCTCATGGCTATCACATTGTCCTATGGTGGATGTTAAATACACTCTATAAAATGGAGAAAGAAATGAAAACCTGCTATAAAGAAAGGAAACAAATGGTAACTAATTAATTTGGTTGAACCAATATTGTATAGAAAATGATGTACTCACGGGCTTGAGCGAGAGGGAGATCCGGTCTCTACTGAAAAGAGAAAAACTAGCTGGGCATGATGGCAGGGTGCCTGTAGTCCCAGCTACTTGGGAGGCCGGGGCAAGGGCATCACTTTTGCCCTAGAGTTTGAAGTTGCTCTGAGATAGGAGACCACCTCATTCTACCCAGGTGACAGAGTTAAGATTTGGTGTCAAAAAATAAAACTGTTTTAATCCTATCAGATTTCTTTGTTTTCTTCCTTTATATACAAGAACTTGACTTTTAACTTAATGGCACACTGACCTCATTTCTCTGGAGTCTGTGTCCTGGAATTGTTGCAGGAAGGCGAGGCCCAACGGAGAGAAAGAGCACCCAAACACCATAGTTATAAGAGGAAGGGCTTTATTCATCGGCCGGGAGCTTACGGCATAGATTTCCAAATGGCCGCGCTCCCCAACTGGCTTGGTCTTTCCCTTTTTATTGACAGTCAAAAAGTTCCACCCCACAGGCACCCTTCCCATTGGCCAGTTTGAATCAAGTGGGAGATGCTACTCCAGGCCCTACAGAACTACAGGATTTCACAGAACTTGGAAATTTCCAAGTTCCAGAGAGTTAAGCCTATAAATTTCCAAGAGCTGAGTCACCATAGAGAGGGCCCTGCAGGTGCATCCTCGTGGTCTCCCTGAGAAGACCTGTTCTCCCAGACCTTGCCCCTCTCCGGTATCCTCTCTCAGAATAGCTGTCCTCAGCTGTTCAGCTGAATAAACTCTTTAAAGGCGAATTCTGACCGTTTTTGATTATTTTAGGTTGACAATCTTGTATCCTGAAATCTTGCTAAACTC